GTAGGAGTGGACGAACTGGCAGAAAAACATGTAGTAATAGATTTCAAAAATAACACGATGAAACTGACTGAAGAAAAGGAAGGAGAACAGGAAAACGAACATGGGAAACAGAAAATTGATATTTCGGAGAAAGAACAAACAGTGGAAATGAATCTGGCAACGAAGCAAGGACAAAGAAGAAAAAGGATAAAGAAAGTCAATACCGGGGATTCCTCAAAAGAAGAGATGAGCCCCGAAGAAGAAGAAGAAGAAAGAATATCAACAAAGGAAGATGAAAACGACATAATTGAAACAGTGGTTTTTAGGGAAGAGATTAATGAAAAAGAGGATGAAGAATGGACGATAAATATGTGTCAAGAATCTGAGGAAAGAGAAATTAAATTGATGTGTGGAGAAGAAAGAGAAAATGAGTTGCGTTTGATATTAAAAAAATACGAAACGTTGATAAATGAGGAAAACAGAGTGGCCAGAAAGTACGAACATTCATTTGAGGTAAAAAACTTGGGAAATTTTCGATCGAAAACGTACCCGATTCCATATAAGTATCGACAACAGGTGAAAGAAGAAATTAATAAAATGTTGGAAGATCAAATAATTGAACGATGTGATTCACCGTATATTAATCCAATTGTAATAGTAAAGAAAAGCAGTGGAGAATTGAGACTATGTTTAGATGCCAGAAATATCAACCAGCACACGGTATCACAATATGAATCACCTCTAAACATCGAGGCCATATTTGGAAGAATTACAGGGTCACACATATTTTCTAAAATTGATTTAAAGCATAGTTTTTGGTTGATACCTTTAGCTGAAAAATGTAGAAACTACACCGCTTTCTCGATTGATGGTATTGTCTACAGATTCAAGGTAGTGCCTTTTGGTTTACAAAGCGCTTGTGCAGCACTGGTACGGGCTTTACATTCGATTTTAAATCGATACGAAGATTTCATAGTCCATTACATCGACGATTTGTTGATTTTTTCACGAGATGTACAGAGCCATATGAAACATATAAAAATAATTCTGGAAGAATTGGATAGAGCGGGATTAAAATTAAACATCGAAAAATGTCAATTTTTCCAAAAGGAAGTAATTTATCTAGGGTTTCAATTGGACACTAAAACAGTCAGCCTAGCCGAAGATCGAGTCAAGCTCATTGATGAATATCCAAGACCAACCAATTTGAAAACATTGAGAGGTTTTCTTGGCACGATCAATTATTTTAAAAAACTAATTCCCGATTTAAGCCAGAAGGAAATTCCTCTAATAAAATTACTAAAAAAAGGGATAAAATGGAATTGGAAAGAAGAACAGGAGAAGGCTTTTCAAATATTAAAACAAGAATTTGCGAAAGGAACGAAAATATACCACCCCAATTATAATCTACCATTTATACTCCGAACTGATGCGTCAATACAAAAATTTGCAGGAGTTTTGTCACAGATACAAAACGATCAAGAAGTGCCAATATGTTTTATATCTCGAGTGACAAAGACTCACGAAAGAAAATATAGCGTGACAGAATTGGAATTTGCCAGTGTACTATTTTGTGTAAACAAATTAAGATATTACTTATTGGGAGCCAAATTCACAATCGAGACGGATCATGCCGCGTTGATTCACATCATGAAGAACCGATTGGTGAATAATCGGATACATAGAGGCATTCTATTATTACAGGAGTACGATTTTGAATTCCGGTATATCAAGGGAAAAGACAATATCATAGCCGACGCACTAACACGGGATGAAGACACGGGAAAAAAGGAAGCAATTACGTTACATGTGGGACTAAATATCTTGACAGAAGAAGAAGGTGTATTCTCATTAAATGAAATAAGAAGAGATCAAGGAGAATTAGAGGAAAAAGAAAAAAGAAGAGCGGAGATGGAAAACGACATATATTTCAAGAGAATAGACGGAAGGGAACTATATTTGGTGACACAAACATTGGCAGAGAAGATTATAAAGAAATTGCATGAAGACAATGGACATATCGGCAGCAGAAAAGTTTGGCTGGTGTTTCGAGAAAATTATATTTGCCGACAGGATTACCGCATTACAAAGGAGATTACACAAAAGTGCCCGATCTGTCAAAAGTATAAAATTAGGAATTTCAAGAATGAAAACGTTACGAAAAATATTATATCCCGGAACAAATTAGATATTGTAGCAATAGATATATTAAGCGATCTAATTATGACAACGAAGAGGAATAAACATGTTTTAGTCATGATAGATGTATTTTCAAAATATGTAAAATTATACAGTTGCCGGACCACGAAAGGCGAAGAAATAATGAGAAACATCGACAATTTTATAGCCACCGTAGGAACACCAAGAAGGATTCTTCTAGACAATGCAACATACTTCAGGAATGATCGTTTCAAGGGACAACTTCGAGAACGGGGAATAGAGACAAATTTTGTTAGCATCAGACATCCTCAGAGTAATCCTTCGGAACGATGTATACAGGAAGTGACGAAATTTCTTCGAATTACAACAGATGGTCAACATCGACGATGGGATCGGAAAGTGTCCGAAGTAGAAATGTATTTAAATACCATCCCAAGCACCGTAACGAAAGAAACCCCAGAATATATAATGAAAGGGATAATGCCGATAAGGCCATGGGAAGATATAAAACAAAAGGAATACACACAGATAATGGAAGATGTGCAAAGGAGATTGCGGAGAGCAAACGAAAAATATATCCAGAGACAAGATCAAAATAGGAAAAGAAGACCAGTTACTTTCCAAAAAGGTGAGAAGGTTATGGTGAGAGCATTGCGAGTGTCCAACATCCCTGGCAATGTATGCGCAAAGTTAATGCCTGTTTTTGAGGGTCCTTACGTAATAAACAATGATAATGGTATAAATAGTTATGTTTTGAAGCATTTGGATTCAGACAAGATTAGGGGAATATATAATATCAACGATGTTTATAAATATTATGAATAAGAGACAAAGAATGTTTGCATAAGAGAAAAATCCCTACATAATTCAGTAATTTTTATCATATGCAAAGGCGGGGATTTATTATACTTCTTCTTCCACAAACGCGGAAGGAACAAAAATAATTAAGGAATCCATCGGAAGTAAGTTTTTAAGAAATCTGAAGACAAAATATGTATTAATTTTAAGATAGAAAGTTTGTATATTTGTAAATAGATAGATTAGTACCGAAATTTTATGACTTATAAAGAACTAAGCCATTCTAAACGAGTTATTGACAAACCATTTGTACATTATAGAAAATAAGCTGTTACCTGAAGGATTAGTCCGGTATTGTGTTGTATAAATCTTCTATTATGACTAAGGCAAAAATCTTTGAAATGTATAAAAATTATTTGTTTACAAGGAAATGACCATTGTTAAAAGATTAAAGTTCCTTGCTTGAAAACGGTAATTAGCATTCCAACAAGTGTGGTAAACAAATTTGGATTTTGTGATGAGACGATCTTTTTGGAAGGGGAAATCGACAGACCGAGGGTTGATAGAGTTTTTGTTGGTTCGAGAAGACAGTGATGTTTGAGTGATCGAAAAGAAAGGTTGCGTCTCGACAGGCGGTGTGTTCGTGAGTTGGAGGCCGGCATTGTTAAGTGGATAAAGTTACCAGTCTTGTTAGCAGAATTGTGGAAGAAGTAGATTGCAAGTCGATGTAAAGAAATCCTTGAATCTAAAGTGTGCAGTTTCTGGAATACGTGTTAAATAGTTGTGGCACCAGGTGAGAAAAGAGATCCTTGGGTCACGAAGAAGTTATATGAATGTTTGAAGAAGTGATTTTCGTGTGTTAAGTGTTGGAGAATTGAGTCAGGAGGTTAAATTAAGTCAGTTAAATTGGCTGAAGGAGCAGATACTGAAACAAGAAGCCGAGGCGCAAGGTGGAAGAACACATTGCTGTGGAAGGTGGACAATTCTTTGTGTGGTCCTAAAACAATCCAGGGAAGAAAGGTCAGATATTTTCCTTTTTCAAGTTGAAAGGTGTGTAAATCTTAAATGCGATTTGTTTACCTCATTGTTGTTACCAGTTTAAAGCATGATTAGACCTTTTTACGTTTATCAAATGTTTTAAAGTTTTGTTTCCATAATAAAATAGATTTTTTAAATATAAGGAAGATAAAAGTTTATAAAGGTATCCAAATTTAAATTAGTTTCAAATTGTTTTGTCTCAAGAAGAAAATAAGAATTAAAATTTTCTTTTTGTATTAATTTCATTACATGCATATTCGCTGATTGAAAAGATAACGGCAAATTTAATAATTGTTTTTTTTTATAAAATAAAAAATATCTGTATTTTATGTATTATACTTTTTATTATTATCCTTTGTTTTTCCTATCCCGATAAATACAACTAGAAAACTTTGAACTCACTGAACATAAGAAATATCAGAAGTTTATTTTTTAGGACATTGATAACGAGAAAGTATATTTTTGTGATTGTTTCAAGTAAATAAATTAAAATCAAAAATACAAAATCATAACAATATGTTAAAGTTGAATTTCAAGTGATTTTTGCATTTCCTTTTCAAATTAAAACAGAATTCTTTTCTGATGTTATTTCCTTCAATTCTGATTTGTGTACCATAAATAAAACTTGTTAAATTTGATTTTATGTGATCTATAACCTTTTACAAATGGTTTTGTATTTTATAGGTATATAGGCTAAGATATTTTCTTTGTAATCTGATTTTATAGTGAAATTCATACATATTAGGTATTTCTTATGACAATGAATAGGACAGGATTGTGTTCAGTGTTAAAAATATGTTAATCTTATTAACCATTCATATAAAATGTAAATTATTGTGGTTTAGCCTACTTTCATCATAAACCTGATTACCTTTTAAGCAATGGGTTCAAATTTATATAAATGTAATTAAAAGTACAGTAGTACATTAACAATAACTTAACAACAATTATACCGGGTGTTAATTCACGCTATCTATTCAAGCTAGATGACATCACCAATATTTTTATAGTAAAATGAATATTACCTGGACCATAAAAGCGTTTTCCTTTAGTAACATCGAAAACGTTTCCATTAACTGCTACAAGAACTCTTCCATCTGGTTGGTTACCATCATATTTTCTTAATTCTTCCAATGTAAAGTCTCTTTTTTTCATTTTTGGTAATTCCACGACTGTATTTCGCACGGGTATATCATTATTTCGACTCTTGAAAATTTTATACACTAGAAATCCAATAATACACACGAGGGCAATATTTAAAGGACTCTGCAATATTTGTAGAAATATATTTGTTAATAAACCGGGTGTAGGTGTTGAATAATCCATGTTACTAAACAATTACTGTGCTGATAAAGCAGAATCACAGATTGATGAAGTTTTGACTTAAGTAAGATTGACAAATTGATAAAGTTACAACTTTAAATTTTTGAGGATTTCAGCTTGTCAGCAACAGCAGCAGGTTACGGGTTACAACTGAAGGAAAATATTTACTTGTCTATACATTAGAGATGAGCTATATTTCACGACCTGCGATTTTGTCGCGGATATAGAGATACGCGCCAGATCCAGATCACAACCGTCACAACTTTCAAAGGAAAGTATAAAAAAGATTTCATTTAGTCGAATATATTCAGTTGAACACGATAAGCATTAGTAAAAGATTTTGTGTCTAACGTGCACGACTTGCAACAAGTGTATTCTAGGTAGATCTTAACTGCATTGGTTGAACTATAACCGAAATGATTCTAATGGGTGCATTTAAAAACAAGCGAATTGGTCCGAAGAAATAAAATTTTAGAAAACAATTGTTTATGTCATAGTTTGATTTGCTTACTGTTCTTTGGTCTATGAATTATATACCGAAATCTTGAATTATAAATTAAATTTGTCTCTAATATCCCTGTTCATGAATCGTCTCACTTCTACTTATAATAGAGCAATTTCGATTTCACCAGCAAGTAGATATTAAGTGGCAATCCAAGTAACCACTGTTATATACAAAATAAAATTTTTCACCAATATGAGCTTGCCTCTATCCCATGCCCATCTTCATGATTTTAGAATAATATTCCGAATTTTGATTTAATGAGTTAGTTAAATAAAACAGCTCAGGCAAATTTACAGAGTTTCAAATGATTTCGTTTATTTTTTATAATATTATAACACATACATAGAACATAGTCACAATACTGTGACATAGTGTTGTAATGTCACCACTAATGCCACGTTATGCGTATACTAAAACAAATAAAGAATTATACCAGTATGATGCTTCATCAACATAAATTTAATTGTATGTGCACACATTGACGATGTGAAAAAAATGTCGCAAAAAAATATTTACGGGTTAATTTCATGTGAAGACGAAATAATTTTCTTAAGTTATTGTATCATAAAATATCATAACATCAGTATGTACTATGAACATCATCACGAAATAATGTGAACACCTCTAGAAAATGACAAATGTCACAGATTTCAGATTTGACATATCTACACACGTTGCCATATTCCAAAACTTAAATTTATATGCCTATTTTGCTATATAAATGCTTTAAAAATATATACAAACTTTAGATAATAATAATTTAAATAATAATACATAAATGCTGTAAAAATATATTTATATTACCACAAGCCTTTAATTCGTGTCTCAGAAGTACTTATTTTTAATTTACATGTGGCAACATTATTGAAACTGTTATTTGGCCGACATGTCAGTTGTCACCTGTTGTCAATAAAGTAGATTTAAATGGATTTAAATGTGTTTAAATGTAAAATAAGAGAAGGTTTCATTTTCGTTTTATATTAAATTTCTGCTATATTTGTTTTGTTTTATAATTCAAAGTATCAACTATATACAATGAATAATAGTTTAAAAGTATGTATTACTATTTAATTTAAAAGTACACTTTTTTAGCTTTTGCTTTTTTGCTATATACATAGTTTGATTTGTATTTTTTGTTAATTCTTATTTTTACCAAGCTTTAAAATATATTTTTGTAACTGTATACATTTTGATTAATTCTGAGTTTGCTTTTTATTTCTACCAATTTTTATTTTCTCCAATTTCTTACTACTTTAGTTTAGTCAATTTATTGCATTTATCTATTTGTCCTAATTTTACAGTAGCATAATATATTAGGCCATTTTCAAATAGTAGTAGACATTTAATGATTATTTTAATTTATTCCATATATCTATTTTTTAGAATTGTGATGAAACTGGAAATGGATGTTTTAGTGGTAAATATATGAAACATGAATGTATGTTTGGAAAATTATCAGGTGAGTTATCTGCCTAGTCTAATCATGTTACATTGATTATTATTTTACATAATATATTACTCAAATCTGGCTTGAAATTTTTGATAAAAAATTAATATCATTTTCTCTTATAGAAAGTGAATATAAGGAACTTTACAAAAATAAACCGTTAGAAGAGGATGAAGATGATGAAATCTACGAAAAGATTAAAAAAGAAGGTTATAATTTTGAGAATATTGATGTAATTGGTGTATTTAATGAAACCTTTAGACTAGATGATGTTGAAGAAGAACTATTTGAAGGTAAATATGAATCTAAATACGTTATAAACAAAATCCATGCTTCAATTGATAGGAACAATCTAGAGTGGAATACAAAGTGTCCAATCATATACACCAAAGGAAGAGTGTTGTATAAAACAGATATAGAAGATAATTTAAACATTTTTGATTTAATCGAGGTTTTTATAAAGTACACTTATGACCACTGCAAGGATCTTGAACTAGATGAATCCATTTCAAAGACAACAATAATGAAGTCTGGTACAATTTGCCCTGGGCGATCAAGATTATTTGTTTATAAAGACAGGGAGTTCATTGTGTATGGGAGATACATTTTTGGCCAAGGAGTGAATTATGTTAAAATTAGTAGTAAGTCAAAAATGTTTAAATTTTTTAATCCTCCTTGGGATAGAGACTGTGAAGAATATGTGTATGCTTTTATGATTAGACATGCTAAAAGTAAGGTTTTGGAAGCTTTTGGTTTGTTTCGATAATCTACATTTATATTTGTATTAACTGTTAACTAATTATTTGATTTAATTGTTATTAATTGTATTAATTGTTATTAATAGTATTGTAGATATTTTTTATATTTTTCTTAGGCTTTGAGTGTAGTTGTAATAATATAAGATTTTCTCCACCTGACTATTTCTTACATTATTTAATTACTCTAAAACTTTTTTATTTAAAAACTTTTTTTTTCGTCTTTATAGAGGAGGGTCTGGATTCTTCAAAAGACATCTCAGTCCAGGACGCCGCCTGACTAACCTTAGTGCAGGATTCGTTCTTCGTACTCCCGGCGATAGTTCCCGAGGTACTTTAAAATGCCCTCTCGTCGCCAAGTCTACGCCGAATGCCTACCTGCTAAACCAGAACCTCCTCTTGCATCCAGCAATAGCTGCGGAAGCGGAATGCCCACTATAAGGCCTGCATCACTTCCGAAGCACTACCTTTATTCATTCATTCTTCATTCATACACATCCACACTCTATTCATCAGCAAGGAGGCTCCCTGTCTGGTTCCAGAAGACACTCCTAGTTCGGCATCATTCCCAGACAGGCATTTCCTCCTTCCCCTCAGTCTGACTCGCGCATTTTAAATCAACCAGTGTGACCCACTTTTTTAGCTTCACCTTTCAGCATCATTCTTCAGCATCATTCACTCTTACCTTTGCCATTGGTCCAGCTGTCTTTCTTACTCTTCCTTTTTCTTGATCACTGCACGGATATAGCTGTGTATGTTAGTCCAATCTAATTTATTTTCAATCATTCTCTCAATCATTTCTCTCACTGTAACAAAATTCACACCTGTCTCTCTCTCCATTCTGTTCCTTTTCACTGTCCATCTGCTGCAATCTAACATCGTATGTGTCACAGTGTCCGAGTATCCACAGTATAGGCATTCATCTGTATCAGCCTTTCCGATCCTATAGAGGTAGGCTCTAAAACACCCGTGTCCTGTGAACACCTGCGTGAGGAAATAATCCAGTCGCCTGTGGCCTCGGAAATTCTTTAAAGTTTTTTAATGGTTACCATCTAAAAATCACATTGCTATGGTTTTTGTTCACTTTCTCATTATCAAGACCTAAACGGGAAATAAGTTTTGAGTATATTGTAGCGAATTTCGGTAACCACATGATTTTAATTTATTTTATCTTAATTAATCTTAATTAACTTGAAAACGACAACATTTTTGAATGGAGAATGAAAAGATCTTTCAAACGATATATCACAAGCCTATACTTCCTATTTTAAAAATTAGGGGTTGTACCTGTAATTCTAAGGTGGTTGAAGGTAGGGGTTGCATTTTCACGTTAAAGAATGTCAAGTTATAATTTAAATTTGACGTGTTTCGGGATTTTTTATAAATATGTATAGTAACCTTAATAATGAATTTATTCCAGTTGGCTTTTACATATGTACTGTATATTATACTTTTTAAATTGGGTCTTTGATATTGCCCACAATCTATTTTTTGTGTATTCATTTATTAACAGTATCTTTTACTGATGCTGCTGTATTTCCCTTGTAATATTCTTAGGTCTTCCAAAATTTTAACCTCTATCAACTTCTATGCTATTTTTGTATTTCTAGGGCTAATTTATTGAATTGGTTTATGAGTTTTATTCACATTTGTAACAAGTTTGTTATCGAGTTGTTACTACCTACTGCTTATACGTGTTTGTATCTGATTTACCTCTCTTGGTTTGTTTTATGTAAGGGTTTCGATGTCTGCTGTCTTATTTTGTAGCGTGGTTTTTTTTCCGTGGAATTTATGGCTTTGGCGAGAACCAATTAGCCAGACTATGTGTAAGATGTGTAAAGTGTTTGATTTTTTTTCCATGCTAGGGTGTCAACCCGGTTCATCCCCTCGAAGGTTTCAGCCCTCTTTGTGTGCTTTACATTTAGTTTCTTTCGCAGAATTGCTTACAAAATTGGTTAGTAATTTTACAGTTTTAGTTTACAGTTTATGATGTGTTGATGAAGTACATAAAGGATAGGAAAGGAAAGGTAGCGTAGTTGTAGGTTTCTATTCATGATTTAACTTCTGAAAAGCTATAGCAGTTGTGCAATCTCTGTAATTAGCTAGGTGGACCCCACCACAGTGCATACATTTAGGCATTTTTGTTATGCACAGATGGCAATTTATTATTTATCACATTGGTCTCAGTCCATCACTGCAATAATTTCGTAATTTCCTTGTCTATACATTTTAGTTTGGTTTTTAACGCCGCCCTTCGCGCAATTCTATGGTCACCAGTGAATACAAGTATTCTACTTCATTTCTTGGCATTTCGC